GAGAGAGAGAGAGAGAGAGAGAGAGAGAGAGAGAGAGAGAGAGAGAGAGAGAGAGAGAGAGAGTTCATCCATGCCAGAACTTCGTTGCTGGAGGTTGGGCGCCTGCCGCCTGGGCAGACAGCTGCAAGAAGACTTCATCAGTATCGTCAGGGTGGATGAGCATGTGAGGTGGGAAGTTGTAGACAGAGAGACCTGGAGTAGAAAGGAAAAAAAAAAAGAGCCGACTCAATTTTAATCATTGATTATTAATAAAACTATCTTCCTGCTCTCTCTACGGCTTCCTTACCTTTGTTTCGCTTGTGGTTACTCTCTGCCGAGTTTGGGACTGCATAAAGTGCTTCATCACTTTTCTCTACTGCCTTTGGTTTCACTTTGAGGGCATTGGGACTATTTGCATGTTCCTGTTGTTGAAGCTTCTCATGATTGCTGGATTCATTACACAGGGCCTTATGGTCTTGGCTCTTGCCTACTCTGGGGATCGTCAGTCAGTTGCTTTTCCACAAAGGAAATCAAAAAGTACAATACAACGTACACAATTGCTTCCTTGCATTCAGGCTGAAGGAACCCCTGATCAGCAGTTATTACTACTTCGAAGGAGGATTGACTATCAGGTGTTGTAACTGATTGACACTCCATCCACAACCAAGTCACACGTTCCCATACACGCATGCAATTATGAAGCGGACTTGGAGGAGGCAATTCCACGCCAAACCTGAGAGAAATACACAGTGGAAGCTCAATATACAAGAATAGAATTGAATTGAATTGAAAATTCATTTCTGAATTCCTCTTCCTCCCCCTGTCAATCAACCTTACAAAATCCCAAGAATCAACAACCGAGTTTCAACAAGGGTTATTGCTTATTCTACTTGTAGCCAATTAGGTTATATGGTATTCGCTTGTGGTATCTCCAATTATTCTGTGAATGTCCCCGAAATGAAAGTCCCACAAATTATCAGGAGTCTTCTTCTTCCTCCTCATCATCACCACAAACCCGGCTATGGAATCCTGAAGCTGCAGACTACCAGTGCCATGATGCCATCTCCCTGGAGCTAAATCTGAACAGTGCCCAACAAAACTCAGGGCTTACTCAGCGCCCACATGGAAGTGCAACACTAGCATCCCTGGACGAAGAAGAAGTTCCAGCAAGCCGAAGAAGAAGACACCACTATGGCTGCCCTGCAGAAGATAACTGGCAGCGCCTAACCTCAACAGCCCAGATATGGAGAGAAGGTCACAGCTGCAATCAGACTCGTTTTCAAACACACTTTTCACACATGTAAACAGTAACGCAGCACACTGGCGACATGCGCCCACTCAAAACTCAGAGATATG